TCCTAGGTGACTCGTTGAGATATTTTCACAAAAATTAAATGCGGTTATTTGATTTAAATCGACATACGGATATAGTATGTTAAATCAATCAACTAAGGTTAATTTCACTCGAAAGAGATAATTAGTTAAATTTGAAAAATCAGGTCTAGTAACATAAATAAATAATTTGTTAATTAGCTTGTGAACAAATTAATTAGGCGACGGTGACCATGAATCCGAGCCACATTTTTCTTCGAAATTTTTCTAGTTTTTATGCTTTCTTCTTTTGTAAATTTTTAGTTATTTTCCAAAATCAAAGTCTATATTGTGTGTGTTTCATTGTTAGAATTAAATTGATTAAAGTTATGTAATCAAAAGTAAACATTCCTCAAGGGATTGATAACTCGAACTCAAGAAGTCCACATTATTACTTGAACGCAACCCCGTGCACTTGCGGTTTGTACTTTCTTAGTGAACAAATATTACAACTAATACTTATTATTATAATACATTAATTAAGTTTTAAGACATAATGCAATTTTTTTAGATCTTATAATACATAATATGCGACATGACATAGAGTGACGTGCATGCTTAATTACATAGAATGAAGCTACTAGCATATATTCGGGTAGTGTTTTACACTGACATGATGGTTGATAGTTTTATTTACACTCCATGATGTGACACTCAATTTTGCTATTAATTTTAACAACACTTAAAATAATCAATGATCTCGATTTTTACACATCATGAAATGTCATCCATAATGTATAAAAGTGATGTATAAGTAGCTTAATTCTATATTTGGGCTTGATACTGTTTAAGGACATGAATAGTATAACATTCACTGTTGAACATATCAATCTAATTATTATACATTGGTTAGAGGTGTCCTCGTACCAAAAGTGTTGAATACTCCATGAGATGTGATTAAAGTATTTTTATAGAATAAATTATTTTCTGTACATTACACAAACACATTGACATACGGGATGTTTACAAAAAAAATTGCAGCATAACTAGTTAAATTCTATTAACAACTATACAATCAAGATGCCAACAAAATATGAGCAGTTGTATTTTTTTCCTTCAAGGGATAAGCATTGTTCATAAATTACACGAAATTTATTTTCTCTTTACATGAGATTAGATGATATGAAATTCTTCGAGACATGTATTAGAAAATAATAAAGTATATTTGAAAATACTGATACATTCGGACTGATGCTTCTTCTAGGGTAATATATTCTTTTAGAATGTTGAAATTTATAGTGTTATGCTATTTAAAAACAAGTAATATTTAGTTAAAATGATACTTTTCGGAACAAGCAACATTTTCCGAAATATTAACATAATAAAATCTAGAATATTACTCTATATGCAAAGTTGTGCTGCTTCAGAACAACGAAAAAATATTCATCTACAATATTAATGGGATTATAATTTTTTTTTTAAGAAAAGCACAATTAAAAACAGTTAACTAGACATTCAAATAATAATATACTTGTTCAAAAGTTCTTTGTAGGTGTTACAAATAGCACATAATAGTATTAATCCCATGTTTGGTAAGAATTAAAATCATTTTTTTGGTTTGGAATCAACTACTTAATTTTTGAGTAGGTTGGGTTAAAATTATACATGAATAACTTGTTATATGTACAATTTTTTTAAAAAACATAATATTATCAAGATAATAAGAAAGTATGAACAAATTAAAATTAAATATCATTTACCTGATTACATGAAATTTCAACATCCTTATTTTGTATTCGATGTTGAGTGTCTTGTCAATTCTTTAAATACATTAAGCTTTCCAAAATGCCTTCTTTCAGCCAAGCCTTGAAATCGAATAGGACTCGATCACCTAGTCTAAAAGCAGACTCCAATGCTACAACGCTAACTAGAAGGTGTTAGTTGATCACGTGCAATCACAAAAACAGTGAGATATCTGAGTTCGTCTTTTTAGAAATCAAGTAAATCAAAAGTCATTGTATCCGTTGAATCTACCATCCTAAGCATTTGATGATTAAAATATTAATTTAATTATGTAGGGATTGCAGTTGGACTTACGTCCGATGTAGTCTGATTATACATACTAGAAGAATCTGTATCAAATATTTATTCCTTATGTTCTGTAAATAATCTCTTGTTTGACAACCATTATTTCTCATTCTTTTTTTTTTCTCATACTCATTTTCTACTACACATTCCTACAATAAAATATAATTAACATAAACCCAAAAATTCTTCTTACTTTTTAACTATACATTCTCCCAAATTTTACTATTTAAAAACTCCTTAAAAAAATCCTGTCCAACAAGGGCTAAATATATATTTCTTCATCATCCTTTTCAGGATTAGCATTGAGGAGGGTGCTCGACTAACATGTGTACCCGATCATTCTGCATACAATTCGTACACTGAAGCTAAAGTATTCTCTAAATTAGAATAAGTGCTAGGAGTATTAAAATTTAAAGTATTTGTGATTTTTCTGAAAACATGTTTTGTAACTTTCAAATTGTACATGAGATCCATTACACATACTAAATGAAATAACATAAGTAGGTATTCCCAATATTTTCTAAAATTTAGTTCCATATAAAATAATATTTCAATAAATCAGGATCTCTATATTTATTAAAAGTTCTTGTAATAACAAAAAACCGTTTAAAAACTTTAAAATAGTGGTTTAGTATACCCAGATAAGATATTTGTAGAATCATGGAAACTTGTCCAAAAAAATTTGTCTTTAAAAGCCAATTCTCAATTAGTATTTGCCAAAATAGTCTCATCATCATTTTTTATATGTCTAGTGTTATAAAATTCAGTAATGAAAGCTTCATATCCTTCACAAGATTTGAGTAATAAGTAAGTCAAGTTCCACCTATATCATACATCGGTTACAATTTTTTTGGATTTCAAACCAAATTGAGCACAATATTCTTCAAATGCTTTTTTTCTACTCAGTGATATAGTAATGTATACGAATGTATACCTAATTCTATCCACTTATTTGCTAATATGCCTTATGTTGTCTTGCATGATTAAATTAAAGGTGTGACATACACAACGAACATGAAATAGAAAACCACTGAAATCTAGATTAAGAACCTTACATAGTTTACGATAACAGGCTTATTAACACTTGCATAATCAAACATAAAACTACGAATTGTAGATTCAAAACGATATTCTTTTATAATTTGCATAATAGCATTAAATATGTTGCTAGCATAACTCAATTATATTAAAACCAATTATTCGTTCATGCATAATTCAAAGTGAGTCTATAAAGTGTACAATTGTTGTTATATAATATTTTTTATTAATGCATTCCCATATATTCGATGTAAATGATATAACACCACATATTTTTGTAAATCGTGTATTATATATTTCTCATGCTTAGCGAAATATTCAATACAATCGGAACGAAGAGTGTTTCTACTTACTCCAATGTACATTAGTTGAAGATATTCTTGCCTCGAGATAATGTTGGTTGTCCACAATATTTAACTGCAATTCAACACTAGCAACGAACTTCACTGTTCCTTCACAACAATTTTCTTCCAAATAGATTCATGTGATTAATGTAGAAGAAATAGTATTGTGCCGGAGAAAAAGTATCGAATTGAAGTTGTACTTGTGTTTGGCCAACAAGTCTATGTTTGGCGGAATACTTCACGTAGTAACGGTTGAGGTGGGTAATTCCAATTCTCATTTGGCATATCAATCTTGTTTGGCAATATTAAAAAACTGCTTTACATTTTTGGATTCCGTCGAATGTACGATCCGTTGAAATCAATTTAAGTACTCACAACACTTTATGTTTTTTTTAGACTTTCTCTTCCCTCTTGCATCTAGAATTTCGAGTTCCGACTTCTCTTCTTCACCAATATTATCCAAATCAATTGGATGACTACTCCCGTGAACATCGTTAACGCCCAAATCATTGGGAATGGGGGTATCGTTAAGACCGAAAAACTCATTATGAAATTGAGATTGGGTGTCATAGGTAAGTTGCCACTGAACAAGCTTTCAATATAAGAATGGGGATCCGTTTGTATGAATTAAAATTGGAATGTATAAAGTCGAAATAGAATTATACTAATATAGATAATGAAATGTAATGAATGAATTATAAAACTGAGATAAAGATAAAAGTGAGAAAATATGAAGAGTGAGAAATGTAATAGATAAATTAAATATATTGATGATTGAATAATGTAATAACTAATGAGGAATTTAATTGATATTTGAGGGTATTGAATAATCAGATTATGAAATGTAGAAAATAGATTTTAGAGAATTGATGTGAGAAATGGATTGAAATGAAAAGTATTTATAGAGTATGAAAAAAATGAAAACATATTCTGTCCCCGACTATCACAATTCAAATTTTTACGACCGTTGTAAAACTGTCACAAAACTTTGGTGGAAAAATAACTGTTTGGTCACTTTTTTGAGGTCAGCCCATGGGCCGCTCGCTGTTTCAAATGCACGCTCGGCTCGAGTCTAAGCTCGTCCCCAAATGGGCCTCCAAACGATCCACTGGCCAAGCTCGACGAGCTGAGTGGTCAAGCTGATGAGTCTCTCAACTCATTTGCCACCTTTAAGTGAGGCAAATTTTGACAAAAATGAAATTGAACTTGGGGAACTTGGGATAGGATAGCAATATCTTTTGTTACTATTGGAATTTCTTTTGAAATATAGATGAACCAATGTCACCTAATTTTTTTCGAGAGAGTATGAGACTTTGAATTATTTAATTATTTATCTGGGCTATTTACAAAAAAATAAATAAAAATAAATAAATAAATAAAAATCAAGCTATGTTTATAAAACTAGGAGAATAAAAGCAGAGGATTGAAAGAGTCAAGACTCAACTTTATTTTATTAAGAATCAATATCCCATATTTATAAGATATAGTTATGTTGCAAATATACAATAGTCATTCAAAAATTGATATCTCGCCACTGATTGGTCCATCTACAAAAGTGTATTAAAATTTAGAACTATGCTGGATGTACAGAAAGGATTGCACCAGAAATTCACCAGAATACACACATTTGATGGGTCCCGCACATTTTTATTTTTTTTAATCACATGGTGGGTCCCACACATTTTTCTCTGTTCTGGCAATATTCTGATGACTGCCTTCTGTACACCGGGGAAAAATCCTAAAATTTAAGTCAAATTCAACTACACATAAAAAAAACAGACAGGTCAAGTAATGCGCCAGAAGTACAGAAGGGGAAATCAACAAAATGGGCCAGAATCCTTACACAATGTGGGGCCGTGCATTTTTTATTTTTTTAAGAGGAAATTACAGCCAGCCAGGTATTTAAAATACCATTTTCACAAATCAGCTTTCCAATTTAACATTTCAAAAATCAGGTTTTTTATATTTAATTTAATATTAATTATATAATTTTCATCCCAATTAAAATAACCTAAATCAACCCTACAATTCATTTCACACTCTCCCCCCTCTCCCCCTCAGCCTCCCATTCTCTCCCCGTTTCTCTCTACAGTCCACCACCGCCGACGCCGATGCCGACGCTACAGTCCACCGCCGCCGACGCCGACACTCCATCTCTCGTCTTCACTCTTCTCTCATCTCTTTCTTCTGGACTCCACCGTCGACGAGCAGTCCGTCTATCTCTGTTGCTTTTGTTTTGTTATTGTGTAGCGCGGTGGTTGCGGTGTGGCTGGGGGTGTTTGTGCAGGTGCGGCGGATCTTGCTTTTTGGTGTGTAGGAGGAGCAGATCTATTTTTGGTGGAGGTGCGACGATTTTTGCTGTTGGGTGTGTGGGAAGAGCAAATCTCTTTTGGGTGGAGGTGCGGCGGTTTTTGCGGTTGGGTGTGTGGGAGGAGCATATTTGTTTTTGGTGGAGGTGCGACGGCGGGTGCGGCAGTCGTGGGAGGGGCAGATCTGTTTGGGTGAGGTTAGTTGTGCGGCGGGTACGGTTGGTTGTGCGTGTTCTGTATGCTGTTGGGTGGTGGCGGTTCTGCGTTGTTTTGGCTGTGCCTGCGGCGATGGTGGTTTTGGGGCGGTAATAGTGGTGTGGGGAAGGTGGTGGAGGCCGTGGCGAAGTGATGGTCACAAATGATTTTGGTGGTGGTCACAAATGCTGTGGGTCTAGTGACCAAAATTTTGGTTGGTTGGCGACCAATAAACTATATGTGACCATAAACACTCAAAAAAATTCCCCATTCACTACATATACCTAGATCTATGCATACATTCCATAATCACACAAAAAAATTCCAACTTTATGTGTATATACGTTGTGAAATCAAAAAAAAAAAACTAACCTTTGTTTTGCGTGGGTGGCCGGATCTTTGTTTGTCGGTGGGTGGCCGGATCCTTCTTCTCCGGTATTTTGGTCGGTTTTCTTGAATAATGGTCGGTTTTGGAAAATATTTGGACGGTTTTCACGTGGTTGGACTTTTTCTTCTCCTTCCAATGAGGGTATTTTGGCCTTTTACATTCTAACTTCTTAATTTTCGAATTTTTCTTTTTTTTTTTATGTTATTTATTGGTCAAAGGCCAAAATGGAATTTTGGCCTTTTCAACAGGCCATTCACACGTATATCCTCAAAACGAAGAAGCAAACACAATTCTGATTATTACGCTGATTGAGACATTATGGAGGATATTAAGCAGATAAATCTGGTGATTCTTGATTCTCATATAAAAAGAGAGAATTGGGTCATTGTCGAGTTATTATAAAAGTCCTTTTCTTCTATTTTTCTCTAGTTTTCTTAATTGTTGAGAAGAAAGCAAAAGGGAACGGAAATACTCGTGACGTGGGCATGGCGGAGAAGCTTATGCATGCGGTAAGGTACGACAGTTATGGAGGTGGAGCTTCTGGCTTGAAGGTAATTCAAATTTCTCTGCGAATTCTTGTTATTATGATTTATTTTTTTATTTGTTCTGAATTATGGTTTTCTTCATTATTAAATCCATCGCAGGGAAGGGATCATGATTGGATTTACAATCTTAATGTTAATTGGATTTTCTTTGTGTAGTATTTTATGTTATATCCGAGTACATCTAGCTATGAGCAACATGGAATTGTGAAGGAAATGAATAGATCCACTTCACTGAATTATACTTTTTGAATCATAAGCAAGTGCATAGACATGCTTGTGAAAGACGAGTGGATATAATACGAAACATTGAATCCCTAGTAAAATAAATAAGTCTTTTTCGGAATGGATTGATCACAGTCGAAATATGGTTAGAGTATTGACATAGCCCTTTATATAAGGCTTAGTTTGTTGTTGTCGTCATCGTTGCTCGTTTATTGTGCACAATATCTCATGTTACGTGAGGTGTTGTTCAGATTAATCAAAAGAGTGGGTGGTGTTTATTTTTGTTTTTGTTGGTAGTTTAGTGTGGCTTTCTTTGTATGTGACCGTGGGCAGGGGCGGACGTAGAGAGGCACAATCAAACTTTCAAAAAGTAACGAAACAATTAAAGTAAGTGATTGGAACTCGATCTTACACTCTGTGGAGATCACTATCCAAACTTCCAATTTCCTCAACTCTCATACAGAAGCTGCAACCAACACGAACTCAAAAATGAGTTATGATTGTGAGCCCATCATCATATACAGAGATACAGAGAAATAAGGAAATTATGAAAACCACAATGATGTTTATGTACCTCAACAAGAAACATTCTATCGGACACAAACACTACTAAGGCGAAAGCGCAATATTTCGATCCAAAGCCAGTTAATTTTTAGTAAATTGCTTAAACAAAAATGTCTATAGACTGCACATCATCTGCATCAGAGTCACTACCAGAGGAACTCCCAGAATCAGAATCTGTAAAAGAAAGCTCAAACTAATGAGCACTCCATGAACAATAACTTTTGATACCGGAAAATTCCAAGGAAGAAATTCCTCAACACAGTGTAGAAACGCAAAAATCAGTACCACNCACAATCATACTTTCAAAAAGTAACGAAACAATTAAAGTAAGTGTTTGGATCTCGAGCTTACACTCTGTGGAGAGCACTATCCAAACTTCCATTTTCCTCAACTCTCATACAGAAGCTGCAACCAACACGAACTCAAAAATGAGTTATGATTGTGAGCCCATCATCATATACAGAGATACAGAGAAATAAGGAAATTATGAAAACCACAATGATGTTTATGTACCTCAACAAGAAACATTCTATCGGACACAAACACTACTAAGGCGAAAGCGCAATATTTCGATCCAAAGCCAGTTAATTTTTAGTAAATTGCTTAAACAAAAATGTCTATAGACTGCACATCATCTGCATCAGAGTCACTACCAGAGGAACTCCCAGAATCAGAATCTGTAAAAGAAAGCTCAAACTAATGAGCACTCCATGAACAATAACTTTTGATACCGGAAAATTCCAAGGAAGAAATTCCTCAACACAGTGTAGAAACGCAAAAATCAGTACCACTGGAAGATGAGAAACTGCTACTTGAGCTGCTGGAACTGCTCGAGCCACTAGAGGCATTACCATAATCACGGTCTTGATCATGACCAACTTCTCCACCTCCTTCGTCCTTCTCAATCTCCACGGGAGGAAAGTGTGTAGCATGCATATCATCGTCAATGTCCACATCCTCATCCTCGTTTTTTTAGGCCTATTTTCCAAATCATTCCCCTCGCCCATTGCACTCTAAGATATATAAACAGCACATGAACTTCAATAGTTCCCAAATGCAAATCAGGGAAAAAAATAATAATAAATAATACTCCAGTTAGTCACGAACCAATCAAGTTCCCAAAGAGTCTCAGTATCAAGGGCTTCAATATCGAGCTCAATTTCATCGCCATTTTGAGCCAAATGTTCATTCCCCTTCCTAATAATCTGAACCAATTGTGGCATTTTCTCTTGAGGTAAACTCTGCACCCCAAAATCCTGGGGGGCACGTGCCCCCCCAGGCCACCCCCAGGTCCGCCAGTGTCCGTGGGGCCTGGAAATGAAGTTTTGGTGAGAGGATGACAAGAGTGTGGATATTCATTTGTTTATTTTGTTATTTCTTGTGTCTTGATATACCATTTGTGTTCTTTCTGTTAATGTAATAATACATGATATTAGAATTGGGAGATGGAAATTTAAGGTGAAGTTTCTGGGTGGCTGGGGGGTAGGGGAAATAAAGTGGTCAGAGTTTCATTACAAGAGTGATTGATTTGAAGTAGTGGAAGATGTATGATTTTTTAGGTAATTTACTCCCAGCTAGCTCTGTCAATCTATTTAACAGATTTAGCACAATTGTCATATCTACTTATTTCTTCCATGTGGACCTTAAGGGATTTATGATTTCAATTTCACATTCTTGCGGGGAGAATCATCTCTGTTGTTTATTGACTCAAAGCCAAATAAATCGTGCAAATTATAATATTGACAATACTTATTTCAAGTTCATTGCTTACGTAGTATTACTTGTAAATATCTGCGGATAGAATGTGAACCGACTAAGAGTTTTCTTCATTGTGTCATGGGTACAGAGTTAGGATTCAGTTAGGTGAACTTTTTTGTGTATATACATGCTACTTGAGAATTAATAAAACATTTCTCTTGATTTTTATTTTTTTATTTTTGAGCCTTTTATTTCTCAGCTTTGTTTTTTTAATTTGGTTTTTCCTTCTCACAGCATGTTGAAGTTCCCGTTCCTACTCCTGGTGAAGGTGAGGTCCTGCTAAATTTGGAAGCCAGAAGCTTAAATCCAGTTGATCGGAAAACTCAGAAAGGCATGCTTCGTCCACTTTTTCCTCGCAAGTTTCCTTTCATACCTGGTAAGCTTGCTACCTGTATTTCAGATTTTTCTTGAACTATTTTGTTGTTTGAGCTTCTTCTAGCTACCAGTTTAGGGGATGGTTGTTTCAGATTTGAAATCCATGTTGACTAGTGGTTTAACATTGAAATTTTGGTTTTTTTGTTCATACAGATTACTATATAATTAGCCGGTAAAAGTTAGTATACATCGTCAGACAATTTTGATATATACTGGAACATCTATTAGGGCCTCAATAATTCATAAAGCGGTAGAATAATGTGGGATTTCCAATAGAAATTTTTTGTCTCCTTCCACCAATGTTCTTTCAGAAACATGTATTCTCCTGCTGCCTCCTGGGATGGCATTCAATTGCGGAAACACACTTTTATATTTCTTGGGCAAGGAAGAAGACTGATATTCGTATGGTTTTATAATGTCCTGGGATGGCATTCAATTGCTTAAAAAATCCCACTTTTATATTCCTTGGGCAAGGAAGATGACTGATACTTGTATGGCATTGAGTAGCTAGAACAGTTTTTCTCACTGGAGCATTTGGAGATGGGTTTTAAGATGTTTCCGAAGTTCAACTCGTGAACCAGATTTTTACCATCATCGAAATTGGAATCATGTTTAGACTTGTATGTGTTCATTTGGTTTAATACACAGCATTACATCCTCTCCATAGTTATTGCACCTACTCAGGATTTTGCAGGGAGTGGTTATGAATTTGCTGGGTTTTCTGATATGAGTTGAAAGAAATAGAGCATTACAAGTTTGAAACTGGTAAACTGATGAAAGTTATGTGAAGGAGTAATAATCCTTGAAACATTATGTAGAAGGTGTTGTTAAATGGATTAATGTTTTCTTCTAAAGAAATCTTGTTGCAATTAAGTAACAAAGTCTTCATCTATTATATGCTTGCATCTAGAATTTGAAGAATTTTAGAGAAGTTGTAAGGCTACTTGTTAATTTATTTATTATAGGTTACACACATATATACTAGAATTCTCTCAATTACATGGTACTTGATTGAAAGAGAGAAATTTTAGGAGTTACTAATGGGATTATATTGCCAGTTTTTTTGAGAATTATAGCAGATTTGATGCTAATCTTTTCTTGATTATTGGCCCGTGTATTGACTAATATTTCCACGTTCTCCAAGATTATTGGAATTGTTTGTGACATTCCTTAACGCAATTCACTTGTGCCACTTTGTGGCTGGACCATGGCTAGTACAATTTTCATAATTGTTCTAATTTATTTTTAACGCTGTTTGATCTTTTCTGGACCAGTTACTGATGTAGCAGGAGAGGTAGTAGAGGTTGGACCTGAAGTCAAAAATTTCAAAGCTGGTGATAAAGTTGTGGCATATTTGGGTCCTTTGGTAACTATCAATGTCGTTATTTGTTTTGTTTATTGTTTCTGTTGCTCAATTGTTCTAGGTCACTTGACTGTCTGACATAAATGGACGATTGCTTTAAGGTGGCATGTCCATGTCCGACACTCCCTTGAACACTCTAGTACATGAATCCAGCACACCACGTGGCATGCCCTAGTTTTTTTGAGGAAAAATCAAAGCTAAAAGTATGATGTTATTATTAAAAAATAAAATAAGTAAAGAAATAAACATAATAATATATAAATTTATAAAATCTGAAGAATTTCAATTGATGTAACCGTATCCAATTTTTTTAATTAAAAAATCTCGTGTCGGCATATCCATGCATCTCACCATGTGACCCAATATTCTGATTTATTTCTGATTGTTGCTTGGCCACTTGTGCATGTATGTTAGTGTTTTCCCCATGATTCTTAAATGTCCTTGTTTAATTGACAGGGAGGTGGTTTGGGTGAGTATGCTATAGCCAAAGTGAGCTTGACAGTTCCAAGGCCCCCTGAAGTATCGCCCGCTGAAGGAGCAGGCCTTGCGGTTGCTGGTCTTACGGCTCACATGGCCCTCACCCAATCTGCAGGGGTAAAGCTCGATGGATCCGGCCCAAGGAAAAATATTCTTATCACTGCTGCCTCTGGTGGTGTTGGTCATTATGCTGTTCAACTTGCAAAGCTTGGGAATACACGTGACTGCTACTTGTGGGGCACGTAACCTTGATCTCGTGAAGAGTCTTGGAGCGGACGAGGTTCTTGATTATAAGACCCCGGAAGGAGCCGCTCTTAAGAGTCCATCGGGCCAGAAATATGATGCAGTGATTCATTGTACGACAGGGATTTCGTGGTCAGTTTTCGAGCCAAGTTTGAATTCAAAAGGAAAGGTAATCGATATCACTCCTGGTCTGAGCTCCATGTGGACATTTGCCGTGAAGAAACTTACCTTCTCCAAAAAGCAGTTGGTACCGTTACTTGTAGCTCCAAACGGTGAAAACCTCAATTTTCTTGTTAATTTGGTTAAGGAAGGGAAACTCAAGACAATAATTGACTCAAAACATCCTTTAAGCAAAGCCGAAGACGCCTGGGCTAAGATCATAGATGGACATGCCACCGGAAAGATCATTATTGAGCCTTGAATGTTGATGTTTTAAGCTCATTCTTCTATGTTTATCATCTAAAAGGGCGTTGTTTTTGTTAAACTCTATTTATTTTGAAATTATGACATTCTTGATTTGAAAATACACAGCTTTCTGTTTAAATTATTAGAATTGGGACAATGCTATATGTACTTACACTTTTTTACATAATCTTTTATCTACACTCACAATAGGATATGGGGCCCACAAGGTAATACTTTTTTTATTCACGCGGGGGCCACACACATGTGAGAGGAGGGCACATTTTAGGTACAATCTTTTCGGTACAAATAGATTTCCTCTTAGAATTATATTTATTGTACACTGTTAGTTGACAACTTCTTTGACAGCACCCTTATATACAAGAAATTTGGCAAGTGATTGAAAAAAAATGGTTTTAAAATTAATATACAAAAATTTGTCAACTCATATGATGTCTAACGTGATGTAAAACATGCAATAATTGAGACCAAACATGGGCTAAGTCTTCCCCCCTTTCATCTAGTATTGGAACCCATGAACCATGAGAGCTAGACAAATGCGTGGGGCAGAGGATTTGTGGTACTCTCCTTTTCTTGATCTATCATTTTCTTTCTTTCCGTGTTGAATCTCTGCCTCATAATAAACGAAAGAGAAGTCTGCACGCCTTATTTGAAGTCAAGAATCAATTAGATTCTTAAGTGATAAGAACACGGAAATAAAATTGTGATAACATGATGTGCTAATTGCTATTTATCAATGGCCCTTTGTCATTTCTAAACCAAGGAAGAATAAAACAAAGATTTTTTTCTTTTTTGGGCATTAATGGAAAAGGGAAACAAGTTGTTCTAAAGCAAGATGCTGCAATCAGGGGCGGACCTACTTGAGGCCAGTGGGGTCTGTCGCCCCACTCAATTTTTAGATTTCCCGATTTTTCTTCAAATTTTCAGATTTTTTTTAGTTTTTTTGTTCATGTTTTTTTTAGGTTTTCAGATTTTTTTTCAAGGTTTTTTGGTTTCACCCCTACTGAACTTCCTTCTTGGAAAACTTTTCCAAAGGAATTCTTGAATCTATGATAAACTCGGCTTCAAAGTGTGCACATATTATTTTTCTTAAAATTTTATCAACCATTAGGGTCCGGTCGTATAAGTTTTTTGTTATTCTCAATTGACATTTTAAGAACATATTTAGCATGGAGTATTAGATAATAATTTCATAATCAATAATAAATAAGTTTTTAACTTTTTATTTCATATCGTGCTCATTGTTATGTAGTTCAACTATATGTCCTCTCTTTATTTTTCAAACCTCTATTGAATTGTCAATGGAATAAGAAATATCAGTTCTTTCATCACTCCATCATATATCAAACATGTCACATCAAATGCGCTTACAAAATATAAGAAAAATAAGAAGCCAAGATCACTAATGACACTCAAATACTTGTGTGGAGTTAATACTTGAATCATGCTACATGTACAGAAGAGTTTCACTAGATTTTTTTTTTTTTTTTACAAAATACGTGTCGTCGTGTGATTAGACAGTTAAAAAAATAAAACAAAAAATCACCCACACAAGTGCTATCAATACTGTGTTAAGAATTGAGTTCCATCTTAAAAGGTCAACCTTATTAAGAGGAGTAACCCAAGATCTTTATTAATTGATCTGTGTCAACATTATTTATCGATGTGGGATATATATCCCTTAACATACTGCACCTGTAATTGTTCCGTGAACAATTCCCTGCAATGCAAACATTCTTTATTCATTGGAAAATGAGACCAAATGTTTTGTGAGTGCTTGTGAATGCATTTATCACGATGTGTAAACTGCAATGCTAACCAAGAAAGATCACATGCTTGTGCAGGAAATGAATTATAAATGGAACGTGATCATCAAAATTTTAAAGGGAAAATTATCTTTTCAAGTCAAAATGACTTTCGAATCATATTAATTCCTTAGAATAACAAGTTTTTATGCATTTGACAATGCGACAATTGATCTTATATCTTTATATTTTATGAAAGTGTTTTAAGAACATCTCCAATGATGGTCTAAATTTTTAACTTCAAAATCATTTTTGCATCCTCGTTTTCATCTCGATTAGTCTAAATTCAAATTTTGTTTCAATGAGAAAATCTAAATCCATTTTTTCCTCTTGTGAAGGTAAAAAAAAGTTGTAATTGTAATTTTCTTTGTTACATAAGTGTTTCAGTACTAGATATTGGATTTATACACTAGATACCGTATATGCAGTGAATTTAAACACTAAATTTCCACATACCATTTTTGCATGTAATTTTGAGTATAACATATTACAGATTTAAAGAGAACAACAAAATATCAATATACAAAAATGAGACAAGGAAAAAAGAAGAATTAAATTGTAAAACTTTTAATCCGAGGCTTGTGTTCTTGAAATAGATTCGCCCCCTCATCGTCTGTGCTTGAGATTTAATTTGAGCGTTTGCTTCCCAGGATACAACGGTAAACCTGTAGAGTCCGAGCACTACAGATTCTACTCCGACAAACTGACTTAGTATCTGAACAATATCACCACCAAGACCTTGATAGACAGTAAAATATGTATCCAGACAGAGGACAATTTCGTGTGTTTGGAACTATAATGTAGACTGTATTCTTCATGTCTACAATAGTGAAAAATGAGGCTTTATATAGACTTAACCCCATTAAATTTGTCCATAACTCAATGGCAATAACCATTGGAGTTTCAGAAACCAAAAATCATGTCAATAATCATTGGAGTTTCAACAATTAAAAGTCATGACAATAATCATTGGAGTTTCAGAAACCAAAAGTCATTTGTTGAAAACAAAAAATTGACAAAACATAGGTCATCTTAATGAGCCAATTTTTGGTCGATTCGATCCGACATTTGTGTATGCAGGTCGTGTCCGCACACAAATTTAAGATCGAAGCATATTTCGGTACATGATTTGCACCCACAAGCAAGCAAGTAGAGAGAGCATCTATGCTACACATGATTACACACTTCCAAAGTGGTTCTTACTTTCATTAACTTTCTGATAAAATCAAATTTAGTTTTCCCTCCAACATAAAACCATATTTCAATAGTCAACTTTGAACTCCAATTTCTCATTCACCCGATCTTCATTTTTTGGAAGTAAATACATGATTTTGATGTACTTACGGAGGATAACGCAAATCAATCTTTATCTTCCAAAATAGTCAAACGATTGCCACTCAAAACTCATGCCAAAATCGACCACATACTCATTTTTCCAACAATGGAGTTTCAGAAATCAAAAGTCATTTGTTGAAAGCAAAAAATTGACAAAACTTAGGTCATCTTAATGAGCCAATTTTTGGTAGATTCGATCCGATATTTGTGTACGCAGGTCGTGTCCGCACACAAATTTAAGATCGAAGCATATTTCGGTCCATGATTTGCACTCACGCGCAAGCACGTAGAGAGAGCATCTATGTTACATATGATTACACACTTCCAAAGTGGTTCTTACTTTCATTAACTTTCTGATAAACTCAAATTTAGTTTTCCCTTCAACATAAAACCATATTTCAATAGTCAACTTTGAACTCCAATTTTTCATTCACCCGATCTTCATTTTTTGGAAGTAAATACATGATTTTGATGTACTCATGGAGGATAACGCAAATCAATCTTTATCTTCCAAAATAGTCAAACGGTTCCAACTCAAAACTCATGCCAAAATCAACCACATACTCATTTTTCCAACATTCTTGACATTTATCCATCGGACCATTTTGAAAATCTAAATCACTGTATAAGATAAAGACAAAATGGATATGAATCAAAACCGACACCTTCAAAATTGCGCGTAAAACAGTGGTCATCGCGCTTGTCCTATTCCACATTAGTCGTTAATTGTGCGGTTAATTACGACGACGCCTGGTCTCAATGCACTGTCCTGCAAATTTCCACAGACCACCCAACCGCGGACTTTCCATTTGAATCAGACAATTTATGCTGGGTTTGTAACAGAGCATTTCATTCATAATTTTTGAGGAATTTTTTTTTTCTTTTGCAAAACCATAGTCAGGAAAGAGTCAAGTGTGTGTGATTGAGAGAGAAATTTGTGAGTGGGCTCAAGAAATGGCAACAGCAGGGTTGTACAGGCGTGTCCTCCCTTCTCCCCCTGCTATAGAATTGGCTTCTTCCGAAGGCAAGGTATATCTGTTTGTTGTCTTAATTTTCATTGTTTTCGTATGCTCCTTTATGTTCATCGCTGATTTTTCTATTTTCTTACTCAAAGCTATTTTTACTCCTAAATGTAATCAATTATTGGAGGGGTTAATGTCTGTTTTTGGGAGGGATTGAAGTATCTAACGATTGCGTGGGAGTAGTATCACATAGATTAGTTTTACACGCTGAAGCATTGTTGGAACCCTCGTCAAATTAGAAGGCACAGTGTTGAATTTTTGTAACTTTCTTTTTAAAATTTCAGTTGTATTTTATATTGTCCATTCTCTCGTCTGATGGCAAATTACAGTACTGCTTGAATTCTGCTCTCTGTCCTTACTAATGGATAAATGGAAAACATAAATCACAAAGTAGCTCTAAAACAACAATTTGAAATATTATAATCTTCTAATATAGGTTTGATGTAACCTTTTAACCAACTTTAATGCCTATGTTGCTTGGAATTGAGTTGCCAAGTGTTATAATGTCATACAAAAGTACAAATCTTAGTTAGATACACGAGTTGTCAAATTCTAAGACAGGTATTCGTCACAATTGTCTCGTCATTGGACACGAGTACAAGGACGACAACGACGACAACAACAACAAAGCCGTTTGAGTACAAAAGAAGTTCTTCCTAATAACTGGATTATGTGGATCTGAATGTTTATAATGAATAGATTGCTCTTATAGTTTGGTTTTTCTGGAGTTTGTGTCACGTTGACTATTTTGTCCGAGGTGAAGTTCTAAGTCACTAAAAGGTAATAATTATTTAGGATTAATTCTGTAATTTACTTTTGAATTAAAAGGCTGTGCG